TCAAAAATGAACTTGAGGGAGTGTAAAATTGCAAGCCCTGGTGGAGCAGTACTGCAGTGCAGCAGTAGCACTGGAGTGCTCCAGCTGCCCTGCTCAGTGCTCAGCTCAGGAGTCAGGACTCAGGACCTCACTGCTCAGGAGTCAGGACTGCTCATGGTCTTGGCTCTTGGGCTGTGGCCCCAGCTGCATGTGTGCATGTCTTGGCTTTCTGCCAAGCATGGAAAACTTCTAACATTAGGGCCATAATTAGAGCTTTCCCGCCATTTCTGGATCCGTGCAATTGCCGCCACCCGCCAGATGAATTAACTCCTATCTAATTGTTAACAAAAGTGCAGCTGTGTACCACAGTAGATAGTAGTCACAGTACCAGAACCAGACTAGGCCTACTGGTCCTGGAAAGTCATGAAATAAATTTTTAATTTTCCAAGCCTGGGAACTGGGAAGTCATGGAATTTTATTTCAGGGTATGGAAACTTTGGAAAGTCATGGAATTTGCAAATAGGGTAAATGCACCATATTCCAACACCAGGGTGCAGGAGGTGGAAGCAGTGTCGCCAATACATATGTTTTTAAGCCCAAAGTGTTGCCAACCATTTTCAAGATGCGTCGCCAGGTAATTTTTAATGAAATGCCATTTATGCTGAGTAATGAAAAAACTATTTACAAGGTTACATGCACGTGTTATCCCAATTCCCAAATAACTAATTTTACCCTAAAACAGTCTGATTGTACAGCAAGTGTCAACTGAACATGTGATAATGCAGTCTGACCGCTCTAATGTGACCGCAACTACGCAATCAAAAAAAAGTTGTTTACCTTTTTTTGGCGGGAACTCATCACAACTGATTTCCAGACATGCTTCACTGCATCCTAATCCGTCCAACGTACCAGAAACCTTACTTTTTTCTAAATACCTAGTTGGCCGAAGACTGACAAAAATATTAAATGCAAGAATTTCAATCTAAATGTGTCGGCTAGATCTTCTGAAGGCGAAAATTTTGCTACTGAAGCGTTGCCAAAGATCTTGCAATATTCATCCACTCTCTGCACAGTGTTCCGACAGACCAACACTGTGGGTAATTGTGGCACCTCTCAACTTTTCCTTTATATTAAGCTTGGTCTTAGTTCCATGCATGCGTAGATGGTTGAAATAGCGGCGTCGTACTATTGCGCTCCAGATTTCTGCAAAACACTAGGTCTAGCGGGAAAATGTTAAGATCCACAAAGCAAAAGTCCAAGTCAACTAGTGAGAACATCGAAACACATATGGAAGTTGATAGTTGACCTTGCTTTACTAAATAGTGATAAACTGTTTGTGTAGAAAGAACATTATGCTTTGAAACTTTTAAATAAGTCTGTGAATATATTAGGAATCCTTTAAGTATACTAGTATTTGCTGATTTTAAGTGGTAAATAAATTAATAGATGGTTGATTTAAGAGTCGGTTTTAGACACATAAAAACTAATTCCGACACAGGGTGTAGGAATTACAACCCACAGGGTGTCGTTTACTGTCGTATTCCGACACAGCTCACTCAGGGTGTCAGAATTATGAATTACGATTTTGAAGCGCTGTCGGAATTAGTCTCACAATATGCCGCATTTAGTCACACACAGTGTCGGAATTCAGCAATTTTGTAGATTTGAATTCTAAAGGCTTTTAAATAAGTATGGCAACAGTTTGACATTTAATCATTGCTGGCGCATAGTGTGGTGTTTTGAGAGTGACATAAACCAATCAGAACTTGAGTTGCGCATACGGTGATATATTTATAGCCATTTATTTCTTACTACATCCTTAAGGCTTAAGGTGTTGTAATATGGTGCGTTTACCCTAAATGAAGAAAAAAAGGAAGCGTTTGTCTGTACTGCGTTCTGTGTGTGTTAACCCATTAATGCTGATTGCTGAGCAGTTCCATTGGGAATTGCAACCAGCGGAGAAAATGGATTATTAATAAAAATTAAAATTGTATGATCAAATAAATATACAACAAGTTGAACAAGTGGATACATAGGTTTGACTTTGATACACATCTTGTACATATTTCAAAGTTAGGTTCTGCTGCGCTGAGATATGAGATATGAATACTCTTTTCTCAGTTAACATTCAAATATGACTACTTACTAGAACCAGGTCATGGGAAAAGTCATGGAATTTTTTTCTAAATACCAGTATGCAACTTGCCACGCTGCTTTATGTAGGTATGTGCAGGGCAGTGTGAAAAATTATAAAGCTGAGAAGAGAAAAGGATGTAGTAAATTTCTATGTAAATATAAGTGGGATACAAATAAAATTGTAAAAGTTATGAATTTTTTCCTTTATTAAATTATGTCTCCAAAATATAGGCTTCTGGACTGTCCAGGGTGCATGCAGACACAGAAAGTGGGCATTTCTGTTTCCTACTGTCAGGCAGGATTGGAATTTTCCTACTTCTTTCTGAAATCTTGCAGCTCCAATGTGATGAATTTTTAATACAATTGGAATCTTGCAGCTTGACTGTGCACTTTTTTTCAATAATTAGATAGGTTATTCATCTGGTGGGAATCTAACGGTTCCGTAAATGGCAGTGTTTTCCACGCTTGCTGTCGGGTGTTGCTGTGTTGGCAACGTTTTTGGTCTACAAATGCAAAAATTGGTGATGCATTCACCAATGACCAAACTCTGGGTCCTGGGGGCCTGGTCTCTAGTTCTGTCACTTTCCAGGGTGCAGACTGTACAGCTTGCAAGCTGTATCGCCAAGATATGGATTTTTAGCCTAAAATGTTGCCAGCCATTTTCAATATGCAGTGCCAAATAATTTTTAATTTAAAAATGCTGCTGACTAAGTATATTATGTGTTGCCTGAAATAACACAAATCCAGTTATCTCCTTACAAGCAATTCAGTAAGTATGAAATCTTGCTGCTGGAATGTCATAAATTTTTGTTTAATTGAAAAAATTGCGGTTTGCACTTCACAAACGTGTTTCAAAAAATTTTAAGCTTCCACAATCTGCAGTATATATACTTCAATGCTCTTGCCTCCTGCCAAAATAACATGCAGAACGTTATAACAAGTCATTGAAGTCAACCAAAAATGTTTCCCTGAAGATCGCGTAGTTGCGGTCACGTCAGAGCGGGATGACTGCATTGTCATTTGTTCTGTTTATAGGGTAAAATTAGAGATGTGGGTAACACATGCATGGGACTTGGTAAATAATACGTTCGCGGCTTGTAAATGGCTTTTCACGGCTGAGATATAGAATTCATGGCTCAAATAAATGGAATCACTGATGGCAAACTTATAAAAGCATGGCTTGAAAAATCCAGTCATGGCTCACTAAGTAGATATATTCCATGCCTGCCTTTATGGCCGCGACTATAGGTTTCCCGCCATTTCCGGAACTGCTAGATTTCTGCCAGATGAATTACCTCTTATCCAATTGTTAATAAAATTTCACAATCGGGCCACAAGATTCCAAATGCATTAAGAATTGGTCACATTAGAGCTACATTGTACGCTACATTGTACGTCCACTTCGTTGATTTTGAGAAGGCATTTGATTCAATACACCGAGACAGCCTTTGGGCCATCATGCGCCAATATGGAATACCTCAGAAGCTGATCCGGCTAGTCAGGACTCTCTACGAGGACTTTCAGTGCTCCGTGATCGGTGAGAACGAAACAACAGAGTGGTTTCCAGTAAGGACAGGAGTGAAACAGGGGTGTTGCATGTCAGGTTTTTTGTTCCTCCTTGTGATCGACTGGGTAATGCGCAGGACTGTGGAAGGTGAAAGAACTGGGCTCCGATGGAATTTAACGACCATGTTGGAGGACCTAGACTTTGCAGATGACATTGCCCTTCTGTCTTCAACAATGAATCACCTGCAGCAAAAAACAACCAGGTTAGAGAGTAATGCAGCAAAAGTGGGGCTAAAACTGAATGCCAAGAAATGCAAGATATTGAAGGTCAACAGCGGGAGCAACAACAACCTGAGGGCTGGAGAGAGCGAGGTGGAGAAAGTGGAGAGCTTCACATATCTGGGTGCAAACGTCACTAAGGATGGTGGGAGCACAGTGGATGTGAGGAGGCGAGTGGCAATGTGAGCAAGCGACTGTGCTGTGGCCCTCGGGTGGGCACCTGAAGGAAGGAGGAAGAGAGGACGCCCAAAAACAACTTGGAGGCGAATGGTGGAAGAGGAGAGAAACCGAGCAGGCTGGAACTCGTGGAACATAGCACGGCAGGCAGCTGCAAACTGGACCCAGTGGAGGAGTGATGTCCAAGCCTTGTGCGCCTTATGGCGCGGAGAGAACTGAACTGAACTGAACATTAGAGCTGCAAGATTTCAGAAACAAGTAAAAAAAAATCCAATCCTGCTTAAAAGCAGAGGTTCTCTACAATCTGTTCTACTTTGCAGTAGACATTGTATTTTTTTGGTGGGATAGTCCAGAATACTGAGAATAGTAAACAGCATTTTTAACCTTTTTCCTTTTTGCCTCCTACCCAAGTTCTACCTCTCAAGTTGCCTCCATTGTTTGTGTATGTCCTTGCCATGACTACATCATGAAGCCCTGGAACATCCTCATGAGCTCTTCTCTTCTGAGCATCATGATTAGTTACAGAATTCTGTGCCATGATCCAAGCTTAATAAATGAGCTGAGCCTGGCCAGTAACTACTGTATAGAGTGAGCTGATCTGGAAGACCTAATTCCTAAAAAAATATAACTCAGTAGGTACTCACTGCAGTGAGTGACAGAGCGCATTTTCTCATCAACGAAAACTTGAGGTCACGGATGGATAGACAGACGGACAGACAGACAGATGGACATGGCGAGCACAATAGTGCATTTTTTCCATAAATGAGAAAATGCGCTAAAAAGGAAGAAATTTTGGTTATGGTAAATTCATCCAATTTATGGTTATGGTAAATCATTTCCTGTTATCTGCCATTAATGACTGGCTTAAAATTTTATGTTTCTGTTAAGGAAACATATATAGTCATTTGAATTTTGTATTTAACAGACATTCATTATTTGCTAGATATGTCCGTGATTTATCATGATGAAATTGAAATAGAAGATTTTGACTTTGATGAAGTAACTGAAACCTACCATTACCCATGCCCATGTGGTGATAGATTTGAGATCACCAAGGAAGAACTGTCTATGGGAGAGGAAGTGGCCACTTGTCCAAGCTGTTCACTTGTAATCAAGGTCATCTATAACAAGGTATGGAGATATGATATACCTAGATAGCTGGGCACTGTACCTAGAAAGGAAATAGGTTTAACCTTTGACTAATTAATTTCTACATTGAGCTTATATTTCTGTACTGTGATCAGCAAGATGAAATAATGACAACATGTGTGATATAAATAATCATCTTAGTTGTAAAAATTTTTTATTGTGTTATCAAAATTGTTGCAATTTATTTCATTATTTATCCAATTTATAATTTCACTAATTTTGGGTGGATATGATTACGTACCGGTATATCACCATAATGAATAGATTTTCTACAATCTCAACCACTGAAGTCAATTTCCTGAATTAACTAAGAGAGATCAAAAGTTAGAATGTTAATTTTATATTATTTCAACTATATGAATGGTTAGTCTGGAGTAAATGTTTTAAACGCTAATCACGAATTAATTTCCAGGAGGATTTCTTTGAGGAAGAAGCTCCAGCAATGAAAATTGTTAAGGAAAAGAAGAAGATAACCAACTAATCACATTCATAAATTTTTTGTTGATCTTGCACTTCAAACTTATCTTATTCAAGTGAGTTAAAAATATGCAAAATTCCAAAACTACTTTTACAGCTACATTGTTTTTTTTCTTTAGCATTATATTCATGTGTGTTTTCCATTCTTGTTATGTACTTGAAAGTATGGATATATTAATGACACACAGGATTTTAATTCTCATTTATAATTGTGTATTTTGACACTGTGTGCTGTTGAAACATGGTTCACATCAAAGTGGGCTAATGAGATCAAGGCTAACAGTTGATTTATTATATAGATTTTTCTGTTTTCTTTTGTTTAGACTTTATGTTTCCTTCTCAATAAGTCATGTATAGGTACTGTAAAAGGGGGTAACTTAGACTATTTTTTATTTAATGATGCCATCTTTTTACTAGCTTAATTAAACTTCAATTGAAACATGCAAAATACAGGTCTATACTCTAGGTTCACTCACCATAAATTACTGGCTCCTGCCTCTCATAGTTTTGATGTAATTTAAAAAAAAGTGATGGTCTTTGTTACCTCAGCTCTTGGGGTACCTATCTTAGACTGGGTGGTAAAATCAATTACATTTTTTGGTAAAATAACTCCAGGTTTTGGTGCATTGTAGTAGAACTCTTCTACTTACATATGCAAATGACAGATTTGAGGAAAGTGTCATAGTTAGCAAATGGGAGGCGCCACCACCGAATGGGGGAACTTAGACCACCTAATGTCAGCCATGAAGGGGTAGTATTGACCGGCTTGGAAATTAAGTTAAAATTACCATATATGACTCTGTAGAGTCTGAAATATGAAAAAAAAAACATTAATAGGTGTATCAAACATAAAATATGTTATATATGGTAATTTTAAATTACTTTCCAAGCCGGTCTATGTTAACCCATCAGGGCTGACATTAGGTGTTCTAAGTTCCCCCATTTGGGGGTGGCACCCCCCATTTGCAAACTATGACACTTCCCTCAAATTTGTCATTTGCATATGTAACTAGAAGAGTTCTACTACAATGCATCAAAACCTGGAGTTATTTTACCAAAAAAATGAAAAAATTGGAGGGGGTTCTACGACAGGCTTTAAATAATAGCTCTTTTCTGTGGGTCACATTTTTCATTTTTTAACCTATTAGATATGCATAATTTTTTTATATTTCTGTTGTTTTATGTAGCCTCAGTATTAGGCCTTAAATGCCCATTGACAAAATTTTTCTATGTCAAATAGTTTTTGAGTTTTAGGGGTTTTTTGTTAAAAAAACGAAAAGTGGTCTAAGTTACCCCAGGAGTCGTAACCCCCTTTGACGGTACATCTCTACATTCAAAGAATTGTATTTCATCTTTCTCTTTCTGCAATATGCACTATATGTGGTATAAACTTGTGTCCTAAATTATTATGTGCACTATTTATAGGACATACATACTTTAGAAAATTCCAATTCACAAGTAGTAATGAAAAATTTAACTAATTGTTTAATGTATGAAATCTGATAGAGTAAGAACAAAATGGATCATACAGGTATATGGCATTTTTTGACAATTCAATTTAGACGAAAAGAAGTTGTTCAAGTCATGCTCAAAATATTGAACAGGCACAAAAAGTGAAAATTGCTATGATAGAATGTTATCATCTTTTCTCCTTTGACTTATCTATTGCTTGTATGTGTGACCTCATCTCCTTTGCCTTGCCTTTCACTTGTATGTGTGTCATCTCCTTTGCCTTGCCCATCACTTGTATGCGTGAACTCATCTCCTTTGCCTTGCCTTTCACTTGTATGTGTGTCATCTCCTTTGCCTTGCTTGTTCCTGGTATATTTATTCTGTATGTCCATCTTCTATTTTTCTCAATTGATTATATGCTTGACAACAAGCAGCTGTCTGAAAATCCAGTTTATTGATTAAAATCACGGTGCAATCTGCTTGCGCCATGGTGAGTATTTGACCATGAATAAGTGTATATGTGAATGTGAATGTATCTCAGGATAATATGAGATATCTGTATCTCTGAGATACTATGTGAATAGTAGTATCTCGGGTTAGCCACCATTCTCGCAGCCCTCGTCCCATACTAGAATTCAGTTTCTTTAATATTTTAAATCTATTAACTTTCTTTTTCATTTGATTTTTCTAGTGAATTGTTTCTTGCATCTACAACATCCAGTAAATTTTAATTTGTATGGGTATGTTTAGCTGGGACCAGCCATAACCTAGGTCATTATTTGTTATTCACTCAATAATTGTCGCGATGTTGCTGGGCATCATTGTAGGGTGTGGCTCTCAGACAGCTACAAAATGAATCTTACTGAGACCTTTTTACGTTATATCCATATTCTTTGAAAAAAAAGTAAACACAGCTGAGAAGATTTGTTTATGTTTTTCCCAAATTAAAATTAAATGTTGAATATCATGCAACATGTATGATTGTTAAGTATAATTTCTTTTTAATTCGGTGATGCGTGCATTACCGAATGACTGTGTTTGGTTTGTTTATTATTTCAGTACAATTTTGAATGATTTCACAATCCAAACTATTCTCTTTTGAGTAGTGAATGTGGAATATTATAATTGATTTGTGATATATATGTATTGAAGATGGCTGGCCGAGGCAGAGGGCAGACGCGTCTCAAGATGCTGGAGAGCATGGGTGTGGAGCGGTCTGAGATGAGTCAACCTCTCGACCGCCCTAAGGGAGAGGCGGCCGCCAAAGGGGACCTCACTCCTTCGTCTGTATATCCTCCCCTCAAGTTCCAACCTCTCCCCCTACCTCCCTCCACAACCGAGACTGATTATTGTCTTACTCTGCTCAAACTTGACATGGAGCGCATGAGAAGCTCTAAGTGAGTCGGCCTGAGCTTCCGAACAGTTCACCGTGATGAATGTGATCTCATGTTTTTCAATCAAGTTAATTTTTTTCCTCTATTTCCTGGGAATACATTCTTAATCATGGTGTTTCTGAAGCAAATTTCTGGTCCTCTTCCTTGTGTGATAGATTATTGTGTATTTTGTGTCGTAGTTTCCCTGATCATTTTCATAATATTCGTTCCTTTATCCTGTTCATGCTGTTCATTCCCGGTGTGTAAAAAAATAAAAAAACAGTGTTAACAAGCGTTTATCCTGCAGGTACGACACGAATAAGGAGGTATTCCATGTTAACGAGGGTTTATTTTAAACAGGTTGTTCGTGTTAACAAGCGTTTATGTTTCAGATACGCCGTGAAAAAGGAGAAGCAGCAGGCCGAGCTGGAGCGCTACAGCGACCGCTACCGCCTGACTGTGGCCGAAGATCATCCCCAGCTCGTGGTGGACTGGACGCGTTTCCCCCGCGAGCTCAACCCGAGCTACATACGCAAGAGCAAGAAAAGGAAAATTTCTAAACCTGACCAGAAATCACGGCAGAAAAAAGTCAAACTTGCTGGGGAAACAGATGAGCAGATGGAAGAGAGGTTAAAGGAACTAGAGAAGAAGGAGAAGGAGGGAGGAGCGGAGGTCAAAGAAGAGCTCGAAGATGAGGAAGATGAAGATAAGGATAACAAAGAAGAAGAAGATGAAATAGAGGATGAAGATGAGGAATTAGATGAAGGCACGGATTATGCACAACAATATTTCGATAACGGCGAGCAGTACGATGACGCTGATGACGATGGTAATGACGACGGTGGATACTACTGACGAAGGTGACGTTTAGCCATGTAAGGCCATCGTCGTACCAAGCACAGGTTCGGTCCTGTCACCCTGGGGTTTACATAGCCTGTGCACTTCATGTATTGTAATGTTCTCTCGAAATCTTAAAAAATATTCCTCAATTTTGTCTATATATATAGTATATTCTCTCGAAATCATTTACATGCGAACTTTATACAAAGGGAAACTATAAGGCCATGATTGCTTTTCTCGCCTTTTCAATCTAACCATAAGCTCGATTTTTATTTATTTTTCTACGCGTTGTGGCTCGATCTCGGGTTTCATTTATTCTGCATAACATCAAGTGATTCCTTCAAAACTATTATGTTAAAATAAGTATCTAAAGAAATTTCAAATCATATTTCCCCTAATGGAATATGCATGAGAAAATTAATGAATGTTCCTTCCGTGGGCTTGGTATGGTGATGGTCATAATGTTGTTGAAGTCTTGTTATTGTATTGTTGATGCTTAGAATCCCTCCATGAATGTTCTTGTTTTCTGACGTACATTCGTTACGATGTTCGGCGATTGTATTGAACAGCTTACGCATTTTTTATATATTTTGACTTATATGCTTGAACACGTATACGGCGAAAGTATGCTCCCCCTCCGGCCATTTTAAGTTTAAAAATGCCTATCTTTAATTTTATGTCATTATTCGAACAATAATTCTGTTCATGATTTGACTTCTGGAAATGACAAGAGATGATTTTCATAAATGCTCGAAAACCATTCGCGTGTTCAAATATCATGATACAAAATGAACTACCTGCCATGATAACGGTTATTATATCGTTGTTTTCATCGCGTTAGTAGACCATATCATAGACATGCCGGGCATTCGACGCATTCTACTTCATATTTTTGCTCGCTCAGGGAATCTTAGTTCCTTTTTCATTTCTGAATCACTAACATCAAGACGAAAATAGACATTTGCCAATACGCATTGGGCTAAAAGAATACCAGCTGCTCGTGTATCAGTTGATGGCGTTCACCTAAAAATCCTCTTGAACTTGCAGCACTTGAAGCCCGCATGGTGTGTGCTGAAGAATAGATACCACATCTTCTTGGTGACTGTGTTTATTTGCTACATCGCATTAGGCACTAATATTTACCAATGAGCTATGCATGCTTATTCATAATCTGTTCTTCTTTATCATTTTATTGTTTTTATTATATCAGAGCCTCGTGAAATGTTGGTCCTGATATACCTACGAGGGTCATCCGGAAAGTAGTACCCGTTTGGGAATTGAACAAAAGGAAGTAAATATTGACAAATGTAAATGTAAACATGTTCATTGAAAAGAACATGTATTACACTACTTCTTCACATAATCTTCGGACAAATTTAAGCATCTGTCGTATCGTGTCACGAGTTTTTGTATACAGTGTCAAATTCCTCTGCCGCCAGTGTATTGAGATACGCATGCAGTCACGTGTTCTTTCAGTTCTTCATCATTTTGAAACTTTGCCCTGCCACGAAGTCCTTGAGTTTTGTAAACAGATGCAAATCTGAAAGAGCCAAGTCCGGACTGTAGAGTGGATGGTCGAAAATTTCCCTGTTAGGATGGTCGAAAATGTTAGGAGAAGTTGTTGCGTTATCCGAGCTGGATGCGGCCTGGCATTATTGTGCAGGAGAATGACGTCAGTAGACAACACAATAGACCTCGCCATCGATTTTGAATTGCCCGCCGTAATTTTTTAATGTTGCACAATTGCATGGGCATTGATTGTGTCTCCACGGGTCATGAAACCGATGTGCAGTACACCTTGCCGATCCCAGAAACACTGGCGGCGGAGTAACATGACACTGGTATACAAAAACTCGTGACACAATACGACAAATGCTTGAATTTGTCCGGAGATTATGTAGAGAAGTAGTGTAATACATGTTCTTTTCAATAAACATGTTAACATTTGTTGATATTTACTTCCTTTTGTTCAATTCCCAAACGGGTACTACGGTACTTTCCGAGTGTCCCTCGTATATGTATTTTTTTGTGGTATTGATTGCTTATCATAGCAGTGCGTTCAGATGTGACTACCTAATGGTGACGATGCCCAAATGCAAAATATATGCCCAATTTGACTACACCTGAACATGTAAATCATCTATGCATATATTTCAAGCTCATAAGTTAAGTATGGGTATCGCGTGCGCGTTTATGCCTTGTTTTTCATAATATTCCTACCAAGATAAGTTCATAACGATCATGTAAAAGAATAACGTCTAGTTATTCATTAAATGATTATGACATTTGGAGACACAATGTTCATCGTTTATGACAAAAGGTTCAATCTTATGAATTTGCAAGCCTTTGCTGGAACTCAGCCTGCTTGGGGAATATAATGTAAATACATTTTTTCATCATATTTTTAACCTGAATGATTTTATCAGGTGTGCGAGTTTTGCACTTTTTGACTGTGATATTAACGTAAGGCTTGCTACGTGCGCTTCTCGCACTGTCTATTAGTTTATCCTACCTAATTATCATTTAGTTGTTGTATGATGTATTATGTGAGGTTTCGAACTCAAATCGTCATGTTGCGGGCTGACAACTGTTACGGGAACCTATCATTTGCCTGTGTTCGTCTTGACCTCCAAATAATTTCCAATTGAATCGGCATAAACATTTCTAATAAGTACAGTCGATGTCTTTGCCTTTGTTAACTTTACGAGAACATCACTAGCTGCGCTCAGCCCTTATTTGGCTGATCGCTCTTTAAATTGATTTGGTTTTTCAGATATTTGGAAGCTTTGTCGTATGAAGCAGAATTATGACGATAATAGCATGTTTTTTTCTGTGATTTTTAAGTTTAACAGAGTGGTAGATGTAGACAACCCTAGTATCTTGTGCGTTGTAGATGTAGACAGTCCCAGCATCATGTGCGTTGTAGATGTAGACAGCCCCAGCATCATGTGCGTTGTAGATGTAGACAGCCCCAGCATCATGTGCGTTGTTGATGTAGACAGCCCCAGCATCATGTACATGGAAGATGTAGACAGCATACGTAGTTACGGCAATAGTTTCGGAAGTTGACTGACGTGGAAGCGTCTTGGCTGTTACCAAGACACGGACTACACTTCAGTCATATTAAATATTTAACTTACAAAATTGTGTTTATTCTCTCAAATTCTGCTATTAGTTCATCGAAAGACTTGAACGACTGCTTGGATAAGATAGTCGTCGTGGGAAAATACATAAACAAGAGATAAACCAAAGTCCTGTAGTTTAGGATCTGCGCTATCAGACGGAACTTTTCTGAAATTTTGTTGCCTAGATTGCCTGTTTGTTTGTTGCCTGTTTGTCGTTGACGTTGCCTAGATTGTTAGTTTAGTGGCAAATGTGTACCAGCGCTTCAGCTATTTAGCTATCTCGCACCGAAAGTCAAGATGAACATCACCATAGAGGTGGAAGGTCTCAGTTATCGAAAGTTCCTCAAATCAAAAAATTTCATCACCCACAAGGAGCGGAAGGTCTCAATTGTCCAGCAATTGAAGTTGGCTCGAAAGATGCAGCGTTAGCATTTCAAAAGACGAAGTGACAAGGAGGGACAGGTGAAAAGTAACAGAAACTAAACACTCAAACAAGAGGTCGCTTACACGGGACGTCGGCCGCCCGCACGAGAGAGATAGAGAAGGGAAATATAAGCAATCCTACCTACATAATAATTTAGTATAAGTTATCCTACCTACATAATAACTTGATGTAAGGTATCCTACCTACATAATAACATAACTCCACAACTGAGACCTGCAGTCAGACACCGCGAGCTCAGCGGTGGGGCGCTCAGGAACAATCCCCCTAGGAGAGCGAAATCCCATAGGACTTCTGACGCGCACAGACACGCGTCAGAAGTCCCCCCTGAGGGGTCGACGTTGCCTAGTTCTCGTCCTTCTCATTTACACTTTTCGTGTAAAACGAATAATTAATTTGCCGTGTTTGAAACGCAGAATAGTAATCGTCACAACGTCAATCACTCAATGTCAATAATTTACAGGATTGCTGTCAATGAATTCCTGCAACAGAAAAAAGGATACAAAGTTCAATTGATGTCATTCGTATCAAAACTTTAAACTTGGAAGAAAATTGAGATACAAATCGAATGACAGAGTACTGTAGTGACTCGAATTCACATCTCGCACTAGCATTTCTCTCGAATGCCACAATTAATTTTATTAAACCTTTAAACTCGTGATTATCGACCTCTGTTCTTCTGAGTCTCACTCAAGCCCCACGTGATGCCTATATACTACGAACAATAGGGAGAGGATGAACTTGTATATCTCAATTCACCATACTTAAACAGACCTACTGTCTTCTCCCTAAAGTACCACTATGGTGCTAACTTGAATGTACACGAATACTATTTATCGCTGAAGGTAACCATACATTTTTTGAGCATTAATATTTTGAATTTTTATCAAATTCGAAAAAAGATGAAATTTTATTAAACTAGAAGGGATACGAGATTTGAATAGATAATTTTTGAGGAAGTTATCAATGAAAATATTTTCTTTGGTTTTGATGGGATACACGTTTATTTTTCAGAAGAAGACGTGAGCCGTGAGGTAATAAATTTTAGATAAAATATCCTAGCGGTTAATCATTGAACTTCAATCATTGTTTTTTTAGATGTGGAAAACCTAAAATCAACCATTGCAAAGTTTTCTTTATTTTGGTTCCTGAAAATTGAGCTACGTGACTTAGTAACGCCGGTCGTAGTGTCCGAGTTTGATGACGGAGCTTCGTATTGCGCAGACTCGAACTTTATTTTATACAAAAGTTAGTTTTTATCAAATTTTCAAGCTCTATGACCTAAATATTGGGGCTATTCAAAGATTTTTCTCTTGAACACCAAAGACGAACTTTATTTGAATTGACTTTGACAGATTTAAAGCCATTTTGCCGGCCGGTTGAGAGAAATTGGATAAACAAAGACTCGTTTCGTCCGATTATACTGTTTGAATTTTTAAAGTACTTAGAGATATAGCTAGATATTATTATATGATGTAAATGTTCAAAAGGAACCTGAGATACATATTCAATTAAAATTTAGAGAAGATTTATTGTGGAAGTAACTTTTCTTTGTTTGAAGTTAGAAATTCGTGCCGGTGCAGGAACCAATGACAAAGTAGGTCACAAACGCGCCAGCCAATAGAATGGCACATATCATATCACGTGGTTTTGTTGTTATTTGTCAGCTGGGTGGCTCAGCTGATCGAAGCTCAGTTTCATGCTGGAGTGTGTGATGGACGGTTCATAGCTGCTCCTGATTTCTTGGCGAAATTTGGTGCTCATTGGAAGCTTGCCTTAGACTATTGAAGATCAGTTTACCTATGCAAGATTTACTCGTCTGACTTATGCGAGTTTTTATTTTTCTTATGAAATGCAATATATTGCAATTAAAATATTTTCCAATTTAAACTATTCAAATTGTATTTTCACGTTTATACCGGAAGAAAACGTCATTGATAAGTGAAGATTCTCACGGACTACCGACGGCCATATCCTGCAATAATGTCAACCGGCAAACGGTTAGCAAAACGTTCCATTTTAGGTACACGAGTTGCGTGTTGCTTGCCTGATGGGAAATTCTACCCGGCTGTGATAGTCGACGTTCGTTCTCGTTCTCCAGAAGACTTACGTTCGTCCGTTTACAAAGTGCGCGTTGAAGGCGAACGCAAAATACACGAAGTGAGTGAGAGTGAGTTGGTTGGTAGTGGATTCTCGCCGGTTAGTGCCATAAAGTTGCGCTCGGGCCAAAAGGTTTACGTTACGCATAACAACAGAGAAGTCAGTGCATCTGTTGTCAGCCATACCCCTGAGACTGATGAGGTCATCCTAATGCTCGCCGGCACTGAGGTCAGTTATTTATCTTGAGTAAATTACAGGGATGAAGTTTGTCGACATTATTTGCACTGATATTCTTTATTGTGATCGACTGAACAGTATTCATAGAATATCATTTAATATTTTGTCATGTTGAGCATAATATTTCATGAAATTATTAATATATTATTGCGGAATAAAATAGTTTCTATAAATTATTCTACAATGTGTTTCATAATCTTCCTCATGAAACTAAATTCTAAGAAATTGTTTGTGGATGTAAAAAAATGCTGCATTTTCTGGCATATTCCTTGGTTAGTGGATTCTTTGAGAATTATCAGTGATAAAAATATCTGTTATTTATAGGACTCATATATACCTGTATGGATTTCAGGTTTAATTTAGATTCAACAAGCAAAGTATTGTCATAAGCATAGTGCATTTGTAATCAGGAAGTTTTACAATACTTATCTTTGGCATGAACGATTTGTTCCACAATGAAGTGACATTCAGTGCCCCATCCTCCCTTCTATATTATTATTATTTGTGAACGCTCCACACTTTTTACAAATAACAACCATCCATTATTCTAACCTCTATTTTGGAGTAAAATATAATGTATTTTCATTAACTAATTGTGTAAATAAGTTGTTACAAATATCTCTTTACATTTTATGGGATTAACATAATTCATTCTTGCACTCATCACATTATTAGAAATTACTTTTTTGGTGCTTAAAAACTTTTTTTAATTCTTATGACAGGTACATTAAACTCAGCTTGTCTTTGATCCCAACATATACAAATTCATGTTCACTTTTTGAGGAATATATGAAAATATTTTTGATCTGAATGATATAGTATGCATTGATTTAGCTCACACGACATGCATCCATCACGTCTCTCTTTCGATGTACGTATTCTAGTTACAAAAAAGCTTGAAGAAGTATACAAAATTATATTTTCCTAGTTCATTTATTCCATAATTTTTTTCATAGAGTTTTTGAGAAGAAATATGTAGAAAATTATTGTCGCTAAAACGTCCTCACTACGACTTCTAGAAATAAGTGTTTGAATATATTCCCACGATTCCTATGAATAAGTGTAAGAATAAATCCATGCGGTACATATATTCTTAATTATTTATCACGTCATAATCCATATAGCAGCAGGTGGCATGTTTATGCAGGTAATACCAACGCGCGGTGCAGGTGCGCCGTGGCATATGCCAAGTGACGAGGCATGGCATATGCCGTGTGACGTGGCATGGCATATGCCATGTGACGTGGCATGGGCATGGCATATGGCATGTGACGTGGCATGGCATATGCCGGCTGCGCGGCGCCCACTGCGCAGCCACGTTATTTCCGAGCCTCTGAGCCTCCGACGGTGGAGACGACGCGCATGCGTACGAGCTGAGGGTGTGGGGGAAAATATATATTATTGGGGGAGGATAAAAATGAGGTGGAACAGAAATGCAGTGCATCGCATTTGAGGAATGGGAATGCAGTACAAGACATTTGAGGAATGGGAATGCAGTAAAGAGCATTTAAGGAATGGGAATGCAGTAAAGAGCATTTGAGGAATGGGAATGCAGTAAAGAGCATTTGAGGAATGGTAATGCTGTGCATTCATACAATTGAGTTTTAGCAGGCCAGAGAGCTGATAAATACGGCAAGCGAACCACAATTACGACCGCGGGCCTGTCATTTTGAATTTCAGCCGGGTGACTGTTGAAAAAATGATCATAATTTTTTAATTGTATTTATCAACTGTCACATTTTTGTACGAAGGTCGAATGTTGCTAGATTTATTTGATATTTTTTCAATCCTATTCCATCTCACAGTCCGATTTTATGCTTTATAATAAAAAATTATTATTTCGTGATTTTTTTCTGCAATTGCGCGTACGTGACATCGCGGCAACATAATTTTTTTTTAAATTAATGAATAACTTTTGTGTCAGCGCAGATTTATTGTTAGACTTGACGTCGCGAAGAATGTGTCAAAAGACAAGAGTGGACGCCTGAAAAACTGAAAACTATTTTTTTTTCGCTGACCGTGAGTCAGCCTTTGATTATTTAAAGATGTGATGTCATAGTGATGTCTTCTTCATCTCCTTAGTTATTTATTGCATTGCAGCTCCTATTCCAGAAATATGTTACTAATTTTATAAGACTTTCTCCCTTTACTTTGTTTTTTTTTCCATGTTTTACTTTTTCCCACTTCGTAATATTTTCGAGATTATCATTAAGATGAAAGAACAAAGTGATTGTCTCCTTTTTCATGAATGAAATGTTTTTTATTCACCTTCCTCTAACATACTTTTCAAGAATCATACTACACTGAGATGTGGATATGTAATTGTGGATATGTAATGATTAATAGCAAACGGAAGATGAATCTTCTATTGCCATTCACGATCATCATCATACCTGTTTATTCCGTTCGTTCCCAAAGCCACTCTTCTGATGGCTGTTATAAGGCCACTCTCTTCCTGTTATTTTACAAACCACTCTCTTCATGGCTGTTCTTGGCCACTCTCTCCATGGCTGTTCCAAGGTCACTCTCCATATAGCTGTTTTAAGGCCAATCTCCATATAGCTGTTTTAAGGCCAATCTCCATATAGCTGTTTCAAGGTCACTCTCCATATAGCTGTTTTAAGGCCAATCTCCATATAGCTGTTTCAAGGTCACTCTCCATATAGCTGTTATAAGGCCACTATCAATATGGCTGTTTTAAGGCCAATCTCCTCAAGGCTGTTCTGCATTTTTGTGTTGCTAAAATTTCATGGAGCGTCAAGATTGGCTTAGAAATGCACTTGCATGATAGGTTCCTAGTTCATGGTATGTGTTTCTTCTCAGTCTTTACTGCTGTGTAAATATGGGGGTGTGATTTAAACATTTCCTGTAATATTTTTATTGAGTATTCAGTAATGTGATTACTGTTTACTTGAATTAAGTTATGAAATACTGCATAAAAATCTGAAGTTTCGAGGCTTTTTAGACAAAATCAGGTGTGGAAATAGCGTCCGCTCATGAGGTCACTCTTGTTATGTTCAGAACTTTCCTCTGGCCTTGCAGCGTACAGCGTACGCCCTTGTAGCGCTGAATCCAGCGTTAACCAGAGCAAAGTGTGATACATTGCAGAGCTGAACTATCATTATTTTAACTCAGCGTTGATACAATGCAGAGCTGAATGCATGCCGTTGCAGCTTGAATCTTGGTCACGTCCTCGTCCAGCAATGCTTCGTCTTGCGTCACTCCACGTAACCTCGGAATAAAACGTAACCTCGGAGTGTAACGTAACCTCGGAATATAACGTAACCTCGATCGGAGTATAACGTAACCTCGGAGTGTAACGTAACCTCGATCGGAGTATAACGGAACCCCGGAGTATAACGTAACCACGGAATATAACGTAACCTCGATCGGAGTTATAACGTAACCTCAGAGTATAACGTAAGTTCGGAGCATAACGTAAGTTCGGAGCATAACGTAACCTCGGAGTATAACGTAACCTCGGGGTGTAACGTAACCTCGGAACATAACCTAACCTCGATCGGAGTATAACGTAACCTCGGAACATAACGTAACCTCCGACGTCTCTGAGACGCAAGGCCGTTACATTCTCGCCGGAGAGACGTGAAGGCTGCGTGCGGCGGCCACGCCTTGTGGTTGTGGTGGTGGTGGTGGTGGTGGTGCTGCTGGTGGTGGTGGTGGTGGTGGTTGTGGTGGTGGTGGTGGTAGGAATGATTGTGGTAGAGTTGGTTGTTAAAGTTGAAATCGAATTAGCACCTGTAATTTGACCTATAGTTTCTGTGTGATTTATGGTTCTAAGGTATGATGTAATACATTCGCATTATACACACATTCGCATATGTATAGTACACATGATCTACATCATTTGATCGTTTACATAAGACATATTCCATATGATCTATGATATAAGATCTATTATGTTTCATCTAATCTAATGAAATTCGCATTCGTACCTGAGCGACCAGCAGAAGGCTATACCACATCGTCAGCAAACCTTATTATTCCAGCACGGCTCGCCTAACTCATGTGCTGCATCAGCACGTGAAATTATTACTTTATTACCTGCCTGAAATAAAAGTAATAAAGAATATCTGCCCTTATTTATTAGCTTATTTTTAATCAGATCAAAGGAGCAGCCCTTGATAAACTCGTTTAAATAAATATATTCCTTATATATACTAGGGGTTTGAATCAGTAGCTCCCCCGACGTGGGGATGTCAGATAGCAGCTCCCCCGACGTGGGGATGTCAGATAGCAGCTCCCCCGACGTGGGGATGTCAGATAGCAGCTCCCCCAACGTGGGGATGTCAGATAGCAGCTTCCCCGACGTAGGGATGTTAGATAGCAGCTCCCCCGACGTAGGGATGTTAGTTAGCAGCTCCCCCGACGTAGGGATGTTAGATAGCAGCTCCCCCGACGTGGGGATGTTAGATAGCAGCTCCCCCGACGTGGGGATGTTAGATAGCAGCTCCCCCGACGTGGGGATGTTAGATAGCAGCTCCCCCGACGTGGGGATGTTAGATAGCAGCTCCCCCGACGTGGGGATGTTGGATAGCAGCCCTCGACGTGGGAATGTTAGATAGCAGCTCCCCCGACGTGGGGATGTTAGATAGCAGCTCCCCCGACGTGGGGATGTTAGATAGCAGCTCCCCCCGACGTGGGGATGTTAGATAGCAGCTCCCCCCGACGTGGGAAGATGGTCGGGTAAAGCTCAAGGTCAGTCAGGCATGCAAGCAAGTGGCCTTTGCGAACTTTTTCTTCCCCTTCTTCCCCACCCCACCTCCCTCATCACTCAGTTTGCTTCCTGCATCTTGCTTGAATGAATATATTTCCCCAATCATGTAGCCCACACCTCCCACACTTACGACGTCATTACTGTACATACATACCGCATACATACTGTATTACATACCGCATCCCTTTACCTCAGAGTGATGCATACCGCATCCCTTTACCTCAGAGTGCCGCATCCCTTTACCTCACAGTGATGC